TACAGATCATTTTTGAAATCAGTTTTACAAATTTGGTGACAGATTTTTTATTTTGAAAACAAATATATTTATTATTATTATTATTATTATTTTGATAGTAGTGTTCAACTGAAAAACGATGTATCTACCAGAATATCAAGATTTTTAATTACATTTTTAACTGATTTTCATAAATTTACAGATCAATTTTACCAATTTGGTGGCAGATTTGTTATTTTGAGAACAAACCTATTTATTTAGTGGTAGAATCACATCATGACAGAAGAATTTTTAACTATAATTTGTTGTATCTGTTACAATATCAGAATTTTTCATTACATTCTTAAGTGATTTTTATAAATTTACAAATTTTTGAAATAGAGCATTAGTTTTACCAATTTGGCGGCAGATTTGTTATTGTGAAGACAAATCTATTTATTATTACTATTTTGAAAGTAGTGTTCAACTAAAAAATGATGTATCTAATAGAATATCAAGATTTCCTATTACATTTTTTTTAACTGATTTTCATAAATTTACGCAATCAGTTTTACCAATTTGGTGGCCGATTTGTTATTTTGAAAACAAATCTATTTATTATTATTTTGAAAGTAGTGTTCAACTAGAAATTTTGATAAATTTGGTGACAGACTTATTTATTTGGTGGTAGAATATCATATCATAAAAGTAGTTTTTAATAAAAAAACCAACTTTTGTGTAAGAAAATTGTAAAAATGCAATAGTTGCACTTGAGCCTCACCAAAGCCCTTGTCTCAGGTTGTGTGAAACCCAAGTCTCGCGCCATGAACAGTTCCATATTCTCCTCCCCTCTCGCCGCCGCTGCATCCCCCTCAACCCAATCGATATCTCCAGCGTATTAATGCTCCAAGCATCATCATCATCATCATGCGACAGTGGTCCTTGGTGTTAGCAGTCTTCAGCGTGGTGGCCTCCGGCTTCCTCCTCGACGGCTCCACCAACTCCTACTCCCAATTCCGGAAATGGGGCGGCGGCACCAACGGCACTCTCGAATTCGAATTCAAGACCGACCAAGCCAACGGCCTCCTCCTCTACACCGACGACGGCGGCACCTACGACTTCTTCGAGATCAAGCTGGTGGAGGGGGCGCTACGATTGCGCTACAACCTGGGGGGCGGCGCGCAGATCATCACCGTAGGGCGCGACCTCAACGACGGCCATTGGCACAAGGTCCACGTGCAACGACACGAAGACAGGACCATCCTCACGGTGGACAGCGTCTCCCAGATGCGCACCTCCAGAGGCAAGGAGTTCAACTTCGGGAGGTTTACCACCAATTCGGACGTCTTCGTCGGCGGAATGCCCACGTGGTACAACACCAAGTTGACGCTGTTGGCACTACCGAGTGTCATTTTTGAGCCGAGGTTCGTGGGGGCTATCAGGAATCTCATCTATCCGGACGTGGAGGGCGGGCCACCGAGGAGGCAGGAGACGAGGCCCAAGGACCACAGGGTGAGCCCCATGTTGCTTAGCAATTGACACAGTTGCTTAGCAATACTTATGTTGTTGCTTAACAACACTGTCAAATGATGGTGATTTTTTTTTCAATGGTGTATTGATTTAGAAACATGAGAAGAATAAAGAAAGGGTTCCGTGTTTGGGGTCGATGTAGACAAAGATGATAATCGGGTGTTGATTGACTTAATTAGGCTTCAACCCTTTTGTCTGCTTCTTTCTTAATTAAAAACATCTCGTTTGAATTTCAATTAGTAATCTGAATGTTTATCAAAAAAAAAAAAATCACTAAAACTAGAATTTTGCTAGTGAAATGACATTTTTTATTTTGGGTTAAGGTTTTTCCATTATGGGTTTTTTGCGTGTTAAGTTTATAGAAATAATATCGGTTCGTGTGATTTGAATAATAAGTAGATTTTTCATTCAAAGTGGAATAAGTTTGGATTTTGTTCTAAATCAAGTAATTGGGAGTAGGTGTGAAAATGTTAAGTGACTCTTGATGTTAATTAATGTTAATTGAAATACAGGGTGTTAAAAAAGATTGTAAAATTGGCCAAAATGAATGAAAAAGTGTTTCAAAAAACGAATGATTTTCGACTTTTTTACAGATAATTTTGAAAGAGAGCCTCAGTTTCACCAATATTGTGACAGATTTGTTATTTTGAGAACAAATCTATTTATTATTATTATTTTGAAAGTAGTTTTTAGCTAAAAAATGATCTATCTACTAGAATATCAAGATTTCCTATTACATTTTTTTTAATGATTTTCACAAATTTGCAGATCATTATTTCAATCAATTTTTATTTGGTGGCAGATTTGTTATTTTGAGAACAAACTTATTTATTTGGCGGTAGAATTACATCATGAAATAAATTTTTAACTAAAAATTGTCGTATTTATTAGAATATCAGAATTTTTTATTACATTTTTAAGTGATTTTTATAAATTTACAAATTTTTGAAATAGAGTATCAGTTTTACCAATTTGATGACAGATTTGTTATTTTGAGAACAAATCTATTTATTATTATTTTAAAAGTAGTGTTTAACTAAAATATGATCTACTAGAACATCAAGATTTCCTATTACATTTTTAAGTGATTTTTATATAAATTTAGAAATTATTTTTGAAATAGGGCATCCGTTTTACCAATTTGGAGGTAGATTTGTTATTTTGAGAACAAACCTATTTATTTAGTGCTAGAATAATATTATTAAAAAAGTATATATTTTAACTAAAAATGATGTATCTACTAGAATATCAAGATTTCTAATCACATTTTAACTGATTTTGATAAATTTACACATAATTTTTGCAATCAGTTTTACAAATTTGGTGACAGATTTGTTATTTTTGAAACAAACCTTTTTATTTAGCAGTAGAATCATATTATTAAAAAAGTAGATTTTAACTAATAAATGATGTATCTATTAGAATATCAGGATTTCTAATTATAGGTATTTTGAAATGATTTTCATAAATTTACAAATAATTTTTGAAATAGACCATCAGTTTTTCCAATTTGGTGACAGATTTCTTATTTTGAAAACAAATCTATTTAAAATACAGGATGTTACAATATTTCAGATATTGACCAAAATAAATGAAAAAGTGTTTTAAAAAACGAATAATTTTCGATATCCCGGAAACCCCATGTTTATTAAAACTTTTTTCATTATTTTGGCCCATACTACCTTCTGAAATATTTTACAATCTTTTTTAAGCACCCTGTATAACTGACATTTTTGATGGAACACCTATTTTTTGGTGGCCAAAAAGCCATTTAGTCAACAATTTTATAATTAAAATGGTTAATTTAGCACAGCACACGTGTTTTGAGATTTTACTCTGAGTTAACTAAGTTTGAAATCGAATCAGAACACTACAATTGGTTTCAATTTTTCCGGTCTGTCGATATCAGAACTCGCCCGGAAATGAGACTCCGGGAAAAGTGTCTAATTATCGATTATCCTCATTATTACGCGAATAAAAAAACAATGATGTAAGTTCGAATATCAAGAATTCGCTCACGTTTTTATCATAATGAAAAAAGTTTGTCAAACCAATGGAAGGCAAAATTGATTTATACAGGGTGAGGCTAAAAATATAGGGTGTCACATTTCAAAATGCAAAGTTATGATTGTTTGAAAGTTGCACAATTTTAGTGAGCACCCTGTATAGTAACAGCAAATCAAAATTAGAACAGAATTAGGAACGATAGGGTTGATTTTTTTTATCAACGTACAAAATGGTAATTTTCTGTCATTAATAATAACGTGCTAAAAAAATTTCTAAGTTTCACAAAAAAATTAATAAAATGGCAACGCCGACCTGAAATTTACAAAAATAGTTTGTAGCATTTAGTACATAAGGAAATGAATAAAAAGTGTAGTTTTTTTTTTAAATTGTTCACTTTTTATTTTCTATTATACAAGGTGTTAAAAAAAGATTGTAAAACAAGAAATCTTAATAATTTGGCAACGCCGCAACTGAAAAATTACATTTTTTGTTTTACTGATAACTTACCGTGTAAATTTTAATTTTTTGAGTTTCAGACTTGCTTGGTTAAAGATTTATTTT